ATCGCGTGCTCCGGCAGTTTGGTTGTTTTCAACCAATTTCGGAAGCACCTCGCAATATGGACGAGTTGCATAGCTTAGATAGACGCGGCAAGACAGATAAAGATTGGCTGGTGAGGCATCATGGGTGGGTCGTGTTGTGGGAGGATCGACATCGACGCCTTCCCTGTAGAGAGCCCATTTTTGATAACCTCTTGATGTATGCTGAGGATTATTATGAGTGGTTCAATAGTAACGGGAAACCGTTTCTACTTCCCGAGGATGCACGAGGGCATACCTTTCCACGACGTCGACAGAGACATTCACCGACACAGCACCATCGTCCCTTGACTCGTGGATGGAGAGCAGGTGCTTTCAGTTCATCCTCAGCTGCACTAGCAGGACCTTCCCAGCAGCCACCGCAGCCATATATGATGCCGCCATCGCCTTTCCATTACCAGATGCCACCGCCGCCGCCTTCACCTGGTTTTATGACCCCCACCACCTCCACCGTCACAGATGACCCCTCCTGGAGGCTATTATGGGTCTATGTTTGCAGATATGACTTGGGGTTCATATGCTGGATATTTGGCGGGTTCATCCTCATCACCCATGGCCGCAGCACAGACACCTCCTGTACAGTTTTCACACTCAGCGATGTCTGGGTTTTCCTAGTTTTCCCAGTTTTCGTATGCCGGTGGGATAGTCATACACCTCCAGGGTCCTTATTCTATGGAGGTGCTTCATCGTCATCAACTCCTCATCAACCTGATGTACCTGCTCAGGACGACGACGATGACGACGATGACGATGGTGACGATGATGATGACGATGATGATGACAACGAGGAGTCAGAACCAATGATACGAAGAAATCCTCCTCGAGACCGACAGCCACCGCCATGCGGAACACATTTGCGACGTAGGCATCGATAGATTTTTTGTTTAATTGTAATTTTTTATTATTTCTCATTTAATACTTACTTTGTTTTTGTTAAATTTGTTGGACTTTTTTTTAATATATTTTAGTTAATTTTGTTTATTACCATTTAATATCAGTTATTGTAATTTGGTTATCATTTACCATTTTATTCTTATTGTAAGTTTGTTGTATTTAAATATCAAATTGTTATTAGTTTGATAAAATTTAATAATTGTGTTCATTTTTTTAATCTTCATCAGCGATTATCGAATGACATTAACTTGAAGTAAATGCAAATTAAAATACAAGAATTATTATTTGATAAACAAATACATCATTTCCTCATCAACTGTTACTTGATGACAACAAAAGTGGACATTTTTTCTAGTGTGTCCTGGGTTTCTACAATGGCCACATCTTCTGTCTTGTCTAGATCTTTCTCGAATATCCATATCGCAATGAATTTAATTGGATTTTGGACGACCACGCTCCCTCAATAAACTCAGATTTGGTACAATCGGAAGCCAATGTTGAACCTCATCAGGGTCTTTATCATTACCTATGGGGGGAAACTCAAATTCGTATACCTTAAAAACTTCAGATAGTAGGTATACGGGATCCACAAAATGGTTATAGTCTTGACGTGTATGCGAGCAAGTTGCTATCACATGAGAGCATGGATACTTCAGAGCTTGAAAAAACCCGCAGTCGCACGCTCTGTCCCTTAGATTTACTCTTAACGACACAACTTCAATCCCTTGAAGAGGTCGGGGCAACTCTGTGACACTAAACATTTCATGCCTTCTAGAGAAGCTTGTTACAGATATTCCATTTGATGCAACAATTTTTTTATGTAGATCTGCAACTAATCTAGGGTGATAGACATGACCGCCTAGCATCCAGGTTTGAGCTTGTCCCCCGAGCTTCGCAAAAAGTTCCCCCAAACGAAAATATGTAGTTTTTACCAAAGCCGCTACAGGTAAGTGACGTACATCCTTTAAGGTTGAATTGATTGCCTCAGCCAAGTTGGTCGTCATGTGTCCATATCGATATCCACCATCATATGCGTTCGTCCACATTTCTTTATCGATTAGGCTGATGTATTCGTAACCTTCCTCGTTCTTCGCCCGTAAATCTTGAAGCATTGATTCAAACGTTCGAGGAAGTAGTTCGTAACCTGATCAAAAAATGTATAACTTACTAACTTACTTTCTTTGCAAAATTAAAATGATCAAAAAATGTATAACTTACTAACTTGCTTTCACTTACCCATGCGTACAATTAATTGACGCTCATCATTCTTCTTGTACCTTCCATGATAGTTCGCAGCAATGTGTCGGAGACAATACGTATGTTGGACAAAGGGTGGTTGCCACATTGGACCCAAAGACTCCATTGTTGCTTTGATCCCAGCTCCACGATCTGAAATGACACAAATTTTTTCCCTCGTGATAACATGTGCACGTAAATTTCAGAGAAAAAAAGCCCAAGAATCTGTATCTTCTCCTTTGACAAGAGCAAAAGCAACTGGAAGAATGTTGCGATTTCCATCTTGGACAACTGCCAATAATAAAACTTGCTTGTATTTTCCATACAAGAAAGTCCCGTCGATCTGGACCACAGGCTTGCAGTATTTGGCAGCATTAACGCACTGTGGGTAACTCCAAAAAACCCGGTAGAATTGGCATCGATCGCGAAGAACTCGATCATTATGGTATGCATAAGAGGTTTCGAAGTCCACAATTATCTCAGGATTCAACGTCCGCACCAGCCTAAACCAACCTAGAAGTTCGTTGTAAGATGCATCTCATTCGCCATGAAGTTTGACAATGGCATTTTGTTTTGCCAACCAAGCTTTTTATAGGAGACGGTGTACTCATACTGCGATTGTATAGCTAAAATCAACACTGCAACAGCTATATGAGAGCTTGCTTTTACCATGGGCATGATGGCTTGGCATATCACTTCAGAGTCCAAGTTCGGATGATCTTGGTTGACCCCTCCATCACAACATGTGTGAGGACCGTTGTATACTGTTAGTTCCCATATGTTGTTTTTTCTCTTCATTTTCGATACGCGAACCATCCAATTGCATCCGTTTTCGCGTCGGGCACAGTAGCGTACATATTTTTCGGTCGTCGATCGGTTGACTCTGGACTGAACAGAATTACGGATATTGTAATTTTTGATAGCCATCATCGCTTTTTCTTTGCTTGAAAACTCCATGCCTAAAGATAACTCACCATCATTTATTGATGAGTAATATCCATAGTCACCGAGATGAGGCATATCCGCAAATTCTGGCCCGTACATTGCACCATAATCAACTTCATACATGTGTGCAGGAGGGTCAGTTTGTGCCATATTTCCTGGAACTTCATCATCATCGGAGTTGAATTGCGGTGATTCTGGGTGAATGAATAGTCCAGTCTCAGCACCATCCGCACCAGGCTCACAAGCGGTTCTTCTGGTGGAGATGATGGTTCCTCCATGCTCTCCACATTTAGGTCGAAGAACCTACTACTTGCACGCTTTCCCCTTGAACTGGAAGGCATATCGACATTGAGATCAAAAAAGCTCGCAGTCGAATGCCTCCCCCTGGAGCTTGAAGCCATCGTTTCAAATGGAAACTGCACAGATGGTTGCGTCGATGGCATCTCCATATTAAGGTCAAAGGGATTTGCAGATGAATGCCTTCCCCTTGAACTGGACGCGGTGTTGCCATACGTATTGTTCATGGACCCACCTCGGTACATATCGTAAGGAGTTGTGGATGAATGTATCCCCATTATGGCATTAAAATCATTACACATTATTGTAGTCGGGCTGTCAACTTGATCAACTTGTTCAGCCAGCCCATAGTGTGAGCTTAAAAATTGACCCCGAACAGCATGCACTTGAACAAAATGTGTATACATCTCAATAGCGGCGTCTGAATAATTACTTTGAGCTTCAACCATCATTTGAACATCATCATTGTTCGAAAGTTCGAACGTTGTATAAGTTAATGGCAACAATGATGTTGGAAATCTGTACTGCAACAACGACATTCTTTTGTTACTTCCAACATGAATCTTCCTCGAAATCTTCGTCATTAGCTCCTCAAGAGTTATGTTTCTCTTGAATGATATTTTAACACGCTCATTTGATACGAAAACAACGCCGGTTTCATCTTCTCGAATTTCACCATCATAATAAACAATAGCTGAAAGTCGCGCCATTCTTTGAGTTTAAAAGTGCGACAATATTATATCTGCAAAAAAAAATAACTTAAACAAACCTGATTAAATAAATTATATATGAACGAAAATATAACACAATAAATTTTTTACACATCAACGTAAATAATTTAAATAATATAATTTTATATTATTACCTGCACCGCAAAACTATTTCGACGTATGCTCCCGTTTTTCAATTTTACAAACATAAAAATTAATTGAAAATAATTAGTATAATATTTTTTTCAAATAATGATAATAAACAATAAGTATAATTAAAAAATTATAACAAAATTACCTTATAACGAAAAATCACACGAGCTTCTAAATCAAATTTGAGAAGATTACGAGAATGATTACTCGTTGACGGAATTGTTGTATTAATTTATAAGAGAGGAGAGATGCGAGGAGATGTGAGCCGGATGAGAGTATTTATAAGCATATAATTATAAAAGATATAACGCGGATCAGAGACCGCGTTAAATATAATTTTGGTACGGCGTATAGCGCGGCCCCTGATTCGCGCTATACCCCTACGTGGCGTATAACGCGTATCAGGGGGCGTGCTATACCCCACGTGTACCCAGTCAACGTATAGTGCGGTTCAGGGGACGCGCTTTCCTTCACGTGGCGCTAAATCAGCATATAGCGCAGTACAGATGGTGCGCTTTTCTGCTAAGAGTGTTAGATCGAGAAATATAATCTGACCGGTGTTAAATCGATAATAATACCGATCACCAATGATATGGGAAAATCACCGGTTCGAAGGGGTAGGGTTTTTCATATTTATGTTAGTATTATTATTTTATCGTTTCAATATTTATAGGTCACAATTGCTTTATAAGACCCTTGTCAATTTTCAGTCTACGTCTGTGCTCATTGATCTTAATCTTCAATTTTGTTTTCCTACTCTTATAAAGCCTCCACTGTTATTCATTACACTCATTGATCGACTTCTCAGCATAGCCTTGCAACTCCAGGCGGTGATAAGGGAGGCGGACTAACTCCTTGCAGGCGGTGAGAGGAAAATCAGAAGGCATGGGATCCAAAAACAAAGTACGCAAGCCCAAAAATAAGCACAATAACAAACCTGATTCTCTCCCCTCGGCGCTAGATAGCAACAACAAAAACGAAACCGCCGGTGGCGGTAGCGAGATGATTAAGGATGCTCGATTCGCGTCCCTTCATACGGACCCTCGGTTTCAGACGGTTCCGAAACACAAGTCCAAGGTTGTCATTGATTCTCGTTTCAATCGAATGTTCACCGACAAGAGATTTGCCTCGTCTTCTGCACCTTTGGATAAGCGAGGGAAACCTAAGAAGGGAAACTCCCAGAGCTCTCTTCGCCATTATTATCACCTCGAAGAAGCCGAAGGAGAAGAGGATAAGAGAAAGAATGATGTTGCGAGTGAAGAGGATGATACCGAGGAGAGTGATAGAAATGAAACGTTAGAAAAGAACTGCGATGAGGAGTCGGAACAGGAGGAGGAAGATTCAGAATCCGGCTCCACTACCGAAGAGGAAGACGTTGATATAGATTATGAGGATGAAGAGCCTGAAATACAGGTGCCCTTGTCTAATCTTTGGTTATGCTATGTCTAATCTTTGGTTATGCTATTTTGGTTTCAATTAATTGATGTCATTTAATTTGTTTATTGGTTGTTGTGGAAATTGAATAAGCAATTGAGTTAGGGTATTGATTTTTTTTATTCTATTATCTTTGTGTCAGTTTACTTTCACTGCTAAGCTTAATATATCTCGTGTTTCCTAGTTAAAGGATTAAAATTAAGATGTGACATGTAATCTGTGATGTTAAACTTTTCTAATAGCTTTGCATAAGCTGCTAGTGTTTGCTATTCATTTTAGTTTACTAAAATTGTTCAATTATTTTATATCATTTTCTTGCCAGGAAGAAAATATCCCATTGATCGAAAAGGAAACCCGCAGGCTTGCTGTTTTGAATATGGATTGGAGACATGTTAAGGTATGTCTTTGGAGTTTGTTCAGAGCTAAACATAGTGCAATGGCTTAAATTGTGTTTATGAGATCAACTGGTAGATTTTTTTCCTATCCATTATCAATTCAACTGTTCTCTAAATGATGATTATCTTAAAGTTATTTATTTCAATGCTGAAGTATCTTTCTTGTTCATGTGAAATTAGAATTTCTTTCAGGAAGGTATTTGCTTGGTCGTTTGTCCTGTTTATGCAATTTAATTTGTACATTCCATCATACTTGCATTTATGTTTAACTTGGGTTAACTCGTTAAATTTAATGTCACTTGGAGTTTACATAATCACAATCTGGCGAACCAATTAAAGAAATCTTTGTGTCATATTTCCCTTCAATGAATATTATTGTGGTCTTTATTTTTTTATTGAGTTGTAATTTGAGTAGGACCTATCGAAGTATCAATTGTTTTTTAATTTTTAAAGATGCTGCTATTTCTATAGAATGATACCTGTTTCAATCAGTTTCAAAGTGATTACCTAAAAAAATATAATTCAGATTAGCTCAATCACGTTATGTTTATCATTAGAATTTTCTAGATTATCGTGTTTCCTAGTTCTTTTGGAGCCAGCATTGAAGTCAAAGAGTAATTATTGAACTTTTGATGGAGAATAGATTGCTCATAATCCTAGCCCATGGTTATCATGCAAGTTTTTTAGGCATTGCAGTTTCTCTGACCTTAATGTTAAGAATTGATTACTCTGCCCTCTAAACTTATTGATTCTCAGTTCTGTCTCTTTGTTCTTTACTTTTGATGAAAACTAGAACTTTACAATTGTAGATCTTATTGTACAAGATACTAATGAGCTGAACCATGTCTAGAATTCCTTCTTCTTATATTGGTTATGATTGTTTAAGACCGTAAGGTTTGCAATTTGTTATTAACAGACCACATATCATCTTGACTTCTGACTGGTTTTCTGCCTTTTGTATATGTAGGCTGCTGACTTGTATGTAATGCTAAGCTCATTTCTCCCTAAGGATGGACAAATTATTCAAGTTGCTGTTTATCCATCTGAATTTGGACTTCAGCGTATGAAAGAGGAGGAAATTCATGGACCAGTAGGCCTATTTAATGGGGAAAATGAGGACAATGAAGAAGAAGATGATGATGAAATTGATACTGAGAAATTGCGTGCATTTGAGAGAAGTAGGCTAAGGTGATTGTTGCTAATTGTCATTTTTACCGTTCACTTCTCTCTCTTATATTTCTTTTTTTTTTCTCCCTTTAGTAATTGTTGCAAAGGTCAGTGAATTGTTGAAATACTGACTTGTGCAATCTGTACAAGTTTCTCTTCAGCTAGTCTATTTGGTGTTGTTATTGTGTCTCTTCAAAGGGACATTTATATGTTTCTAATTGATGTTTTCTGATTCTTTTGTTCATATTCGTTATTTCCCCCCTCCCAGATACTACTATGCTGTAGTAGAATGCGATTCTAGTGCAACAGCAGATTACTTGTACAAAACTTGTGATGGAGCTGAATTTGAAAGGTCATCAAATGTGCTTGACTTGAGATTCATTCCAGATTCTATGGAATTTAAACATCCACCCCGTGATGTTGCAGTTGAGGTATGTCTGTTTGACCAATTCACCCATCCTGCTTATGTATCATACATGGGTTTTAGGGATTTTACATGATCAATTTGAGATCTAAGCAAATTGAAGACAACTTGAAATTAGTTCCATATTGTTATTGCTATCATTAATTTTAAATGTTGACAAACTTTGTTGCCTTAGCTAAAATGAGTGACTGCAAAATGTAATATCTTCTTTGTTCAGGCACCCTCAAACTATGAGGGTTTAAATTTCCAAACCCAGGCACTGCAGCAAAGTAAAATTAATCTTTCTTGGGATGAAGAGATGAACCACAACGTGGGAAAATTCTGAAACGAAAACTCAATGATGAACAGGTTAGTGTGCATAATTTGTTTGCGAGCTACTTTCTAATGGTTCGTCTGTTGTCTGTGAAATTCAGTCTAAGATGTATGTTTCCTGTCTACTGCCTTATTGGCAGAAATCCAATTAAACATTTCATGTGAAGTCCTATATTTTGCTCTTTTATTTTATATGTCTAAGTTATAATACTGCTTCTGTTTCATGCAGCTGGCCGACTTGGAGTTAAAGGAGTTTCTAGCTTCTGACGAGAGTGGAAGTGATGATGATGAGAACGAAGAGGTCACTAAGGATCAATCTGATAAGAAAAATAAGAAAAGAGATTTATACCGTGCCTTACTTCAATCTGGTGATGGATCCGAAGATGATGGTGAGGAGGATGGCCAAGATATGGAAGTAACTTTCAATACTGGCCTGGAGGATATAAGTAAGCGTATCCTGGAGAAGAAAGATAAGGAAGCAGAAACCATTTGGGAGGCCTATCTCAGAAAAAGACGGGAGAAAAAGAAGGCCAAGAAAAATAAATCTAAGCATTCTTCGGAAGACGAGAGTGATGAGTGTGATATGGAACCTACAGAAGAACCTGATGACTTTTTCATCGAAGAGCCTTCTCTTAAGAAGAGTAAGAAAGGAAGGAAGCAAAATGAAGATATGGAGAAGGAAGCTGAAGCAAGCAGAGAAGAACTTGAGTTACTACTCACTGATAACAAAGGAACTGATACTGGTCCTAAAGGATACAATCTGAAGGCTAAAAAGACCAAGGGGAAAAGGAAAAAAAGAAGTTTTAGATGAGAAAAAGATACCAGTTGTCGATGATGATCCACGATTTTCTGCTTTTTTTACCTCAACTCTCTATGCTTTGGACCCTACAGACCCACAGTTCAAAAGGTAACAGCAAACTTAATTTAATTATGAAAAAACCAACTATATGTATATATTTAAAAAAAAAAAAGATGCAAGATAAATAAGGTCACACTAAATCTCAAATCTGGATGAAAATTTTGTTTTTCTCTCTAGTTTGAACTAGTATGTTGATTTACTTCCATTCTGAGAGTTTCCGTGTCTTCTGTTTGGGTTGTTGCCTGGCTAAAAAGCACAAGTGTTGTTTGTTGTAGGAGTGCAACCTATGCTCGACAAATATCGAAAAAGCGGCAGAAGGGCGAAGAGGAAGAAATGGTTGGAGAGGGCACGAAGATACCCACTGATGATCCTGGGATGAACGGAGTTGAGCGTGAGAAGTGCGCTATTTTACCATCGAAGGAGAAGCATAACCTGTCTTTGATGGTAAGATCGGTTAAGATGAAGTTGAAACAAGTTCAACTGCCCTCGGGTGGTAAAAAGAAGCAGCATCAGGTTCATTCAAAGAAGGCAAAGAATAAATGAAACAGAGGCGTGTACTTTCTCAGAATATAATTTATGGTAAGTGAATGTAATTTGTGCACTTTTTTATGTTACGGTGAGTGTCATTTAACCATCGTTTGGAAGTGGGAATTGATTAAAAGTTTTTATACTGTCCAAGGGAATTGTTTTCAAATTTATCTGAGTTTCTTTTTTAGATGAATTCCATGGAGTTTGAAGTTAAGAGGCGTCTGAGTTTTAGATAAATAATCAAACATGTTAAAGAAAAGGTTTTCATTAATGTTTTGAAATTTGGGGGAAAATATGAAATTAATATTTCTTTACTTTACATTTAATTAATGAATTAATCGACAAGAATGTGTGTTTTTCAACCAAATCCCAATTTTAGCACTTGTTTATATAAATGTAAAAAATTTTGATAGTGTCGTAATCGGTTTTCGTCCGGGCACGAAATATTCTACTTGACAAAAATTGATGTGAATAAATGGTTTTGAAAATAATTTGGGAGTCGCCATCGGCCTTTTGGGTCAGGTAGGTCGAATACTTAAAAATTATTTTCTTTTTTAAAAGAGTTTTAAAAAAACATCAATTAAAAAATGAACTGATCTGCATTTATAACCAAAAATTCGTTCTTTTTAATAATAAAAAAGGATTCGTGGTCGGTTACGTTTAGGGAAGGATTAGCACCCCTATAACGTCCAAAATTGGTACTTTTTAATTATAAATTGTCTCTATTATTAAAAATTTTAAAAATTCAAAATATATTTAATTTATAATCCTATTATTTCAAAATTATATAAAAAAAATATTTAAAAATATTGGAAAAGGACTTCTAGGTGCTTAAGACAGCTCTTTTCTTTGATATTGATAAATATTAATTTAAATAAAATTAAATAATATTTTTTATAATATTTAATTTTAAAATACCAGAATAGGACATCCAGTTGTATTAAGACTGCCCTTTTCTTCGATATTGAAAAATATTAAAAAATATAAATTATTATTTATCATATTTTTATGACTATATAATAGTAAAAATATTTAAATATAAACAATTAAAAAAATAAAAATACAATAAAACGATATATTTAAAAGCAGTAAATAAATGAAAACATTTAAAATTATGACTAAATTATAGTAAAATTAAAATTAAAAACCTAATTCATAATTAATCAAATTATAGGGATTAAACATGCTATTTTCTTATTTTATTAATTTAGTGACTAAAATAAAACTATATAAAATTCGGATATTAGATTAAAATAAATTAAAATATATTATTCGGATTAAAATTTATTATTAAAATCATAGGACTAAATCTGTTATTTACCATAAATATTTATTTAATAAAAAGGACTAAAATAAATAAAAATAAAATTTAAAGATCAATTAAAAAGATTATAAATTTGATTTAGTGACTAAATGTAAAGTTTACAATATTGAACACTGCGGACGGGATTAACAATTAAAATTTGCACAAATAGTCCTTCCCGAAACGACGTCGTTCGGGAAGCCTATTTAAGGTCCAAAACAGCTGGCCCGAAGGGCCAGCCTTCATTTCTCAGCTTCCCATCTCTCTCTCTTCTCTGAGAGAGAATTTTCTCTCTCGCTTCTCTCTAAAACAGAGAGAAGCCAGCCGGCCGGCAGCCGTCAGTCGGAGTTCTTCCGCCGTCAGTCGGAGTTCTTCCGCCGCCGGCCACCGTCTTCGGTGGCCGGAAAATTTTTTTTTATACTAAAACATAGATCGGACCGTCCTAATGACGGTTACGATGGCTTTTTCTTTTAAACGGCTCCCGATCGGAGCAAATCTAAGAAATATACCTTCGGTTTTTCGAAGGTTTTGGTGAGGTCCGGTGGTCGGGGCTTCCTCGGTAAGCCTCTTCTTTCTTCTTCTTTTCTTTCTTTTCTGTTTCTTTGCTGTGTTGTTGTTGAGATCGTTGGTAGTTTTTTTTTTTAGTATCTTGTTTCTCTGTATCTCTCTTGGTCTCTGTTGTTGTTTCTCGGTTCTTTTTCTCTCTTCTTCTTTGCAGGTTGGGTGATGCTTTATAGCCACCGGTGGCCATCGGACTGGTCCGAAGGGTAAAGTTCAGTGAGTCACCGGACCGTAGGTGGTGACTCACCCCATGGTTGGAACGTGGACGGCGTTCCTTGCTTCCTCTGGATGTTTCTGTTGAAGCGTGGCAGCAGTGGATGGACGGGTCAGAGAGGCGGCCGACGTTGTGGCCCTAGGGTATCATAACCCTAGGGTTTCCTGTTGGAACCATCTGGACCGTTGGATCTTGCCAGATCCAACGGTAGCAGGCTGAGGCAGCTGGGGAAGAGGGAAACCCTAATCTGGTTTAGGGTTTCCATTGGGCTTCTGAATTTGGGCAATCATTTGTAATTGGGCCTCCATTTTGGGCTTGTAATATTAAATAATATATATTAATAATAATAATAATAATTATTATTATTATAATTATAATAATAATAATAATTATTATTATTATTATAATTATAATATAATAATTATAATAATAATAATAATATAAATAACATTAAAATGAAAAAAAATGAATATCTTCAGCTGCCCCTCTTTGCTTATTCTTAATAAGAATAGAGCAAAGACGAAAAGATAATGAATTTTTTTTTCATTTGACTTCACTTGATTAATATGGAGATGTTGAATAAATCCTTCTCTTTCTTCAGATGAGTTCTTCTCATTATGAACTTTCCGCTGAGGATGATGTTGACCTCTTTCCTTCTGTGATAGAGTCATCCAAGAGGTTGAATAAGCTCTTCTTATTATGAACTTTCTTTTCTTCAAATGAGTTCTTCTCATTATGAACTCTCTTTGGCGCTGCTGATCCATCAAATGATGAATTCAAGCAAAGGGTTAAACAAGTAAGTTCTTCTTATTATGAACTTCTTCTTCCTTCTTCAGATGAGTTCTTCTCATTATGAACTTTCTCTGGCAAAGCTAATCCATCAAGTGATGGATTTGAGCAAAAGGTTGAACAAATTCTTCTCATTATGAATTTCTTCTTCCTTCTTCAGATGAGTTCTTCTCATTATGAACTCGAACTGGAAAAGTTGATTCATCAAGTGATGGATTTGAGCAAAAAGTTGAACAAATTCTTCTCATTATGAATTTCTTCTTCCTTCTTCAGATGAGTTCTTCTCATTATGAACTCGAACTGGAAAAGTTGATCCATCAAGTGATGGATTTGAGCAAAAGGTTGAACAAATTCTTCTCATTATGAACTTCTTCTTCCTTCTTCAGATGAGTTCTTCTCATTATGAACTCGAACTAGAAAAGTTGATCCATTGAATGATGGATTTAAATCTTTGCTAAAATCTTTGAAATTCCTGTTAAAATTCAACATGGATGAGAATGAATGAAAATGCACCTATTTTTGCAAATGCCTAAATATGATGCATGATTGTTAAGTTATTTGATTTCAGATTGGTGAACTGAATATTTCTTCAGTTGTAGAAACCCAATAAATCTTTCTTCTTTATATCAAAGAATCTATCATCTTTGACAAATGTAGATATAATGTCACAAAATTTCTTGAGAATAAAACTCAATAGTATAGGCTCCTGCAAAGCTTGCCTGCATGTGACATGTTCATTCTAATAACAACTCATCTAATTATGAAATGTCCTTTCAAGATGATTTCACAGATATCGATAGTTCTTTTAATACCAAGAAATCTTGAATTCTGATTCTGATGAGGAGAATAAACTATTATACTTGACAAAAATGGGATTCTCAGAGGCTGAAGCTTCAATAGCCATGGAGAGATGTGGTCCAGATTCATCAATTGCAAAATTGACAAATTTTATATGTGATGCTCAAATGACTAAGGCTGCCGACACATTTCTTCCGGTAAAAGATGGGAAGCCATTATGCAATGATCCCAATTACAAGCAAAGGCGAAACTTGGGCTATGTTTTTTTGGAAAGGAAATAAGCAAAAGAAGCTTTAAAAGAAACTTCTTAATGAAGATGATCATGCAGTTCATCTTTTAATTCCAATGATTGGTTCTGTGGTTCCTACTAAACCAGATCAGATAACTCAAAGAACACTTCCAAAAGATGCTATGAGCATATTACCCTTCTAAATTCAATGATTGGTTCTGCCAAACCAGATCAGATAACTCAAAGAACACTTCCAGAAGATACTATGAGCATATTCATCTTCCAATTTCAATGATTGGTTCTGCCAAACCAGATCAGATAACTCAAAGAACACTTCCAGAAGATGCTATGAGCATATTTATCTTCCAATTTCAATGATTGGTTCTGCCAAACCATATCAGATAACTCAAAGAACACTTCCAGAAGATGCTATGAGCATATTCATCTTCCAATTTCAATGATTGGTTCTGCCAAACCAGATCAGATAACTCAAAGAACACTTCCAGAAGATGCTATGAGCATATTCATCTTCCAATTTCAATGATTGGTTCTGCCAAACCAGATCAGATAACTCAAAGAACACTTCCAGAAGATGCTATGAGCATATTCATCTTCCAATTTCAATGATTAGTTCTGCCAAACCAGATCAGATAACTCAAAGAACACTTCCAGAAGATGCTATGAGCATATTCATCTTCCAATTTCAATGATTGGTTCTGCCAACTAGATCTAACTCAAAGAACACTTCCAGAAGATGCTATGAGCATATTTATCTTCCAATTTCAATGATTGGTTCTGCCAAACCAGATCAGATAACTCAAAGAACACTTCCAGAAGATGCTATGAGCATATTCATCTTCCAATTTCAATGATTGGTTCTGCCAAACCAGATCAGATAACTCAAAGAACACTTCCAGAAGATGCTATGAGCACATTGCATTTGTTCCAGTTAATGTTTGGACTGGGATATCACAGTACTTATTAGATGTAGAGCCAGACTTTGTAGATTCGAAGCATTTTCATGCTACTACACTAAAAAAGGCTATATTCATAATTCTGCCAATTAAGAACAGATCTTCTCTTATTCTGCTTCCTCCATGTGCTGATACTTTTCCATTGACAAAGAAATGATGGCTTTCTTGGAATCTAAGAACAAAGTTGAACTGTTTATAAACATGTACAGGAAGTGCCAAATTGACAGAAAGGATCTTTAAGGCTCTTGAAGCTTATGACAAAGAGCCACATTCGAGTGTCCAG